TTTTACCGACAGTCCGCTGTTTGCTCCTGCTCAGACTGTAGCATTCAGACCGCCAAAACATGGCAGACAAACACAAAAGATGAACACGTCATGTGGTACTCGTAAAGTTGGAATGTCAGTGATGGCTGATGTGAAAAGGGGAGGAGCTAAGAGACAGGTTAACAGCTCCCCTCTCGTTAACATTCATACAACCTCATCATCTCTTTGTCAAACGTATTGAATGTCTTAGAGCTCGTAGGTAATCAAAGTCCCTCCTCCACCCCTTTCCAGCTGTTCATTTCCCCTGCTGTCTCTGACACTGTGTTCTTTTCCCTGCTTAACTAGAGTTATGAGCTCTCTGGGGAAATTGAACTGGCCCATCTGAAGTCCAACTGTCTGAAGTCCTTCGTACAGTACACTAGATATGAACTCGAGGACTGCAGAAGCTTTGATTTGAGAGAGAGAAAGAACAAAAAACCTATTTCACACAAGCCAAGCCTGACTTGGAATTCAGTCATTGGGGTCACTAGTCTGAGATCTTTTGATTTGTGTTTCGTTTGAAAGAATGGTTCCTCCAGAATGGTTCCTACACTAGGATCTTCCTTTCTCATTTGTTTTGGATCAGACTGACCTGTATTTGTGTCTTTATGTGAACCTACAGAGAAAGAAAGAGAGACAATGATATTGGGAGTGAGTTGGGGGATGGAGGTGTTACAGAAACAGACAGAGGGAGAATAAAGCCTGAGGGGAGGTGCAGGAGGGCCAAAACCAAAACTCATTCATGTGGAAGCTTCGATTAGCAGCAACTGTAAAGTTTCTCTCTTTCTCCATATCTCTTAATCTCTTTCTTTCTCTGTGGAGTATTTTTGCCGCTGACTGTTGAAGAGGCGTGTAATGCACTGATTTTATTTTTCAAGTCTGGTGTGTGCATTTGTAAAATTGCTAAAGACAGAAAATAGACTAACTTTCAATTTATCTATGAACACTGTAATAACCATACCTCATTTTATTTTCTAGAATGCTGATGTTCAGAATCATTAGGTTAAAAAAAATAATTTTTCACGCACATTTCAGTAGCTTGCATTAATGGTGAATATTATTTTTGAATGTTTTGCATTTTTCTTCCCTTATTAGTCATTGTTTATTTGGAACTTACATAAATGAATATAGATATTTAAGTCCTTTGTACAAAAAAAAAGACAAAACTAACAGATGTAAAACAATTTGTTTTGAACTAGAACAGTGGATTTGCTGATGATTTTTTTCAGACCTTAAAGAGTGTTTGGGAAAAGAGAGAAACATCTCTTTGTGTAGAAATATCAAAGTGTCAAGAGATGAAAGGGTTGTCTGCTTTTTCTCTTGTTTGAAAAAAAGAAAAAAGAAATGTGATTTTTGATGAACTTGTGGAAAACATGACCATTACCACTGTCCATATACCTTTAACCCTACTTTCATTCATTAAATAAATCAAATGATCGTAACGTGCCTAAATGTAAATCTGTTACCAAAGGCAGAGGATTTGTATTAGAGCAGTGAAACTGCATGGAGAGCATGAATGTTTTTACCAGACATCTGTACAATGTGTTTGATTACCTGTATGAGGACCAGAGCTGCAGACTGTTGCCACCTGAATGTCTGAGTGAGTATCTGTTCTGACCACAGTCGATGTTCTATATCAACTGTCTATACGTGCTGATCTGGGGGTGACAGTAGTCGGGGGTCTGGGTGGCGGTTTGAAGCAGTTGGGCACAAATGTAATATAACTGCTGCATCAGTCTTAATTAAAATGAAGGGTCGACACAGATTTTAACATCTGGGTGAAACTTTTTTTATTTTATTTATTTATTCAGCTTATTTTTGAAAAGGATGAAAACACTTTGAAACAGTAATGATAAAGTCAACTTGTGAAAATGCATTAGACACTAAAGACTGAATGTTGAGACATTTCTTCTAAAAATGTAGTTGCAGGTGATAACAAATACAACATCTTTTTATGTCAACAAGTCATTTCTGTTCCAACATAAGTTGATTTTACAACAAGTGCATTAATTCAGTTCCTCAAAGACTCACTTGCAGTCATGGAGACCAGACAAGGACGAGGAGAATTAGTGAGGAACCAGCGGAGAGCAGGCGTTGTGGTGAGCTGAGGTTGTGCTTCAGCACACTAGGTTCAGGATATAACGAGCTATACTGGCTGCTTGATCCTGTTGTTGCTTTCCATAAATCAAATCTACAGAGACAGAGAAGTGAAAGACAGCTGACTTGTTTTACAAATATAAAAGCAGACTTGCAGCTCACACTTCACATTTTAATCCGGCAGAATCTCTGACAGGTCTGTATCCGTGGTTCTGCAGGCACCAGTGGGTCCACGAGAACCTGCTGAAGGAACCAAAGCACCTGATATACTCACACAGTTCAGGCTTACTGCACAGGAACTCCATCACATCTCTGGGAACAAAGCTTTTGCCATATTATGTCCCTCTTTTAACACCTTTACATTCATCTGCACATTTCCTTGTTGTTTAGTTATTTTGCTAAATAACATTTTACATCCAAAGCACATCAGCTTAAACACAATATGATTCACTGATATAGCTTTAACTAGCCGATATTCTGCAAAGCTGTTAAAATGTTCATTCAGCCACAACAAACATGCCAAATGATTAAAACATGAGCGAAAACCCTCCACTTTTATAATATGCAGTACATTAACAGACAGGCACTGCTTTGCTGCATAAGTACTTCTACTGAATATACACACTGTTCATATTTACCCAGTTTTACTCCAGAACTTATAACTGATCATATTTAAATTGCACCACTGCACTAATAAAGTAGAAGATCTGAATACATCCTCTCACGCTTTTACTCACCATGAGTTGGTTTTACACTGAACATGAACTTGAACTACAAATGCATTCTGAATTAAAGAAAAAAAAAAAGAATAAATCATTGAAGCTACATAGATTTACTGTCTATCATCTGCGGATATAAGACAGTCATGCTGCTTTTAAAATCCTCTTCACTACATCAAGCAGCATCCCACCCTGAAAATTAAACTTTTACTAAGAATTTGGATCATGTGGGACACCCACATAGTTATACAGGTTCTGGCTGCAGGTTCTGGATCAGTCTTCGTTGCTCAGCCGTTTGTTTTCAGAGTTCCTTAAAGCAGGTTTAATCTCTTCAGTCTTTAAGAGCTTCAACTGAATCCACAGCTGAAGCTTTAACTGATAAAAACATGTTCAAACACATTCTTCACATTTTTTTCCCCACTTTTGTCAACAGCAACAGTATCTTGTAAAGTCAGTGTGAACATTTTCTGGTTGGTCAGAACTTCCTGTTTGCAGCTGGTTGAATGAGGAGCAGTTGTGCTGTTAAAATTCTTCTGTTGGGAGAAATGTTGTGCAGAAAGGTTCTGCCAGAAAAATAGTAATTAGTGGATGTAGCTGTATGAGAACGTGCAATTTTCTAACGGGCCTCACGACTGGTTTGTGGGACCAGACTTTGGTCTGTGGCCACGTCTTTGCTCCAGCCCTGAATGGTAGAACTTGTTCTGCTGTATCGCCATTGGTTGGGTAAGAAATGGAAAATTCCACTGTTAAGCCTGTGATGAGGTACCGTCAGTCAGTGAGGCTGAGATTAATGTAGGCTCATTACTGGTAGGTGTCAATGCCAAACCCAAACCCACACAAAGCAACCAACAATGTATAAAAATGACAATAATACTACTTAAAGAATTGAATTAAATGTTAAATAGTCAACCAAATCAGCAACCCCCTCACTTTTTGACAAAGACTGATCAGAATGCACCAATAACACATTTAGAAAAAACCACCAGCTGTCATAAGTCTTCTGGAAATCCCATTTCTAGCATGATTTACCAATAAAAAGGAAAAAAATAGAAACATAGGCTACATTTCTGACATATCCAGGTTTTTATAGTTCTGTCGGGCTGCTCTGTGCATTGAAATATGTCTGAACGGTATCCAGAGCAACCAGATGTGACGTTCAGGGTCCCTAAAAGCACAGCTGTAGTTAGAAGGAGTCTGGTCTTGTAGAACAGGTAGATACCTGAGACAGTGACAGGCAGGAGGGTCACAGATCTGCCATCACAGCAAAGTCATTTATTTACTATCACTGTTGCGTGCAGATGATGATGATGATGATGACGATGATGATGATGATGACGATGATGACGATGACGACGATGACGACGATGACGGTGCTTATCACAAAGGCTCTCTGTGCTCATATTGTGGATTCTGTGAGGTAAGTACATAAAATTTTGACTCGTACAAAATGCTCCAGTGAATGAATGAATGAATCCAAATGAGATTAATCATCACAGCGTATAGTGAAACTAAAGGTGAAAGAGTTGGATTAGTTTCATTCCTGACTGGAGTCATGATGATCTGCTCTCTGGACCTCTTGTTAACTGAATGTGCTTCTTCCAGCACTGTGACGACTGTGATAAATGTCCTTGTAAAAAAGGAGACAAATCCGACTACTGTGACGACTGCGAGGTGAGGAAACACACAAAATGTGACATTTGACCTTTAACATATGCCAGTTAGCATGCTAACACACTAGACTAAGACTAAACATCAGCATGTTCACAGTGGAACAGACTCCCCAAACTCCAGGCTGCATATTTCTGTATAATTGGTTTAAAAAAACAACAACAACAGCAACAAAAAAAACCAATAGCCTAGATCCCGTTGTGCAGCCAAGCAGCTCTGTCAGCTCAGGCTCTGAAGGTGTCCTGTGGTATCAGGCACCTTAAAGATCCTTTAAATCCTTCCATGGTTTAGATTTGTTTTTAAGGTACATCCAACAAATGCTCAATCATATTCAGGTCAGGGAAACTTGGAGGCCAAGTGAACTCCTTGAACTCTTTGACATATTCTAAGGATTCCTGATCAATGAAACGTCCTGCTGAAAGAGGCCCCTGAACACTGCTCCAAATAAGCAGTGCACATAACAATGTAAAGACTGGTCGAAGCTCCATGAACACCAGG